CCTGCTGTGCGCCTGCAGAAGCCCCCACCCCCCACCCCTGTGCTCCACTCACTGGACCCTTCTCCCAGATCCGCATCTCAGCCCAGCGCCCGCCCCCGGAAGCAGCCCCACTGGGTGGGGGCTCCCATCATCCAGGGGACTGCCTCCTTCCCTGGGGTTGGGGGGACGTGGCGCTGCCACGGAAGGGCCCCCGCGAGCCAGAATGACCAATAGGGGAAGAATTCGCAAACAAGCCAGAAGGGCTGGGAACAGTGTGCCCGCAGCCCAGGTCTCTTCCTCGGCCTGCGTGTGCACCCCATGCACTAGGGGGCCCAGGCCCAGCCTCGAGGTGGCCGGTCGGGCCGCACAGGGTGACCCTCGTCTCTTCCGCCCCAGGGCTTCCTGTGTTTTGCCCTGGCGTTCTGCATCCTGGTGCAGGTGGCCTTCTGGAGATTCCACAACCCTGCCCAGGTGAGTGCCTGCCCGCACCCCCCCCACCCCCAAGCATCACACAGCAGGGGGTACCTGAGCCAGGTAAAGTCCACTCTGGGGGGGACTGGGACCTGAAGGCTGGGACAGGCCTCGGAAGCCCCCCAGGCCTGGGGGGTCAGGAGTTGGAAAGGGGGTGAGGTGCGGGGGAGGGGCGGCCGGCTGACCTGAGGGACTGACTAGACAGGTCCGTGTTCCGGAAACTGGCCCAGAAGCCCTGCCGGTGTCCAGGCCTTATCCCCAGATGACAGCCACCCTTCAGCCCTGGAGCAGGGGCAGCCAGGGGGCCACGGAAGGGCAGGGCTGTCCTCCTGGTGGCACTTCGGGGTGGGCTCTTCCCCAGGGCTTCCGTGTTGGTGGTGATCGGGGCGGTGATGCCCGTGGGGGGTGGACCCCCACGGGAGGTGGTTCCCATGTCTGTCACCCCTCCGCCCGTCAGCTGCTGTCCTCTGTGTGCTTGCTATCTCAGCACAGTGTGGATGGACTCAGGGTGTGAGAGGGGGCCCTGTCCTGATTTGGGGGCCGGGGGGAGGCCCCAGCTCTGGGATAACTCAGTCCTCAGGGCCAAAGTCCCCAGAGAGCATACATGAGCCAGGCTCAAAGCCCGCAGGCCTGGGTGCTGACCCAAGGGACCGAGGCCAGACCACAGCTTGGGGGCAGCGCCTCGGGCACAGGGGCCAGGACAGCCTGGCCCTGCAGAAATTCTGTCTGAATCCAGAGCCCTGAGACGGAGCTGAGAGCCTGCCTGGGGAGTGGGGCTGGCCCCCTCCCAGAGCAGGGCTGGGGGGCAAGGCAGGCCCCCCGTCTGGGCAGAGGAAACGGGTACCCTAGAGGCTCAGAGAGGGAGGCCCAGGGGTCCAAGCCCCTAGCCCAGCTGCTCCCTGGCTGAGGCCAAAGGGACAAGAGACAGGCCGTCCGCAGTCCCCAGCGGTTGACAAGATCCTGATGGCCCTTGGGCCCAACCTTCACCCATGAGAGCCTAGACCCAGGTGGGGTCTCTGGAGCAGGCTGAGAAGTCAAGGGGCCAGCAGGTGGGACTGCAGACAGGGTTGGGAGAGTTCTGCTGCATAGACCCTGTCTGCCCTGACTTTCTGTGATCCCTTCTCCGCTGGGCCTCAGTTCCTCCGTGTGCTCCCAAAGGACCAGCCCAGGCAAACCGAGGCCAGTCTGGCTAGAATGTACTCGGTTTCTGGCAAAACACTGTGCAGGCAGCAGGTGACAAGCCAGGACTTCTTGCCTGTGTGTCTGAGTCCCAGTGGCCCCAGGGTCTCTTTTGGCCGGGCCCCCAGAAGCAGAGGCCCCCAGGGGCAGCTGGGTCAGGAGACTGGGCCTGGCTTATACTGTGTGCTTTTAGGTTTGTGCTGACCCTCTCTGGTCCTGGCTTCTTCCTTTCTCCCTCACATGCTCCTCGGATGGAGGAGGCCGGATCACCGGGCCAGGTTTGATGGTCATGGCCTTGCTCTATAGAGGAGGTACTCAGGCCCAGGGGTCACCTTCCAGGGCACATTGCCCTGAGTCAATGCCTCTTTGCCCCTCTCTGCCTGGGGTTTACCCTAGACAGTGCACCACCCCCCCAGCATCATTTGGGGTCACCACCCTGTGACCAGGTGGGAATCTGAGAGGAGCACTGTCTGGGGGGTACGGATCCAGAGACCCCAAGATCCCCTCCACCCCTGTGTTTCCAAACCCATCCTAGGGGGCCCCCCTGGGGTCCTGGAGGTCAGGCTCAAGGAGGAGGGACCCTGGCAGGAAGCACAGAGGCATCCGAGACCACCAGGTGCACTCCAGTTTTGTCACAGAGAAACAAGGCCTCAGGCTCCCAGAGCACCCCCAAACCCAGTAACGGGGACAGATGCCGAGGCCTGTGGGGAGGGTCCAGCTGGGCCCCCACTGCTAGGCCCCGGGGTCTTGGGTGAGGGGCGTGGCTTTGCCTGAAGCCGGGGCCCGTGCCTCCTGCTTCTGGGGTTCTGGGGACAGACCCCGGTCAGCACATATTCTTCCTACGCCAAGATTGCAATCGCGAGAGCCGGCCGTGGGCCACCCGGCTACTCCCTGGGCCCTAGTGGGGGTGATGCAACCAGGAGGGCGGTCCGAGCTGGCCTCCTTGAGTCAGCCACTTGCCCGCTGACCCCAGGCCCACTCTCCCAGGCCCCCAGATTCACAGGGACGCCCTCCCATGGGGACACAGTGGCTTCATGGTCTCCCCTCGTTTTATACCTAGAGACAGAGGCAGAGAGAGGGCCACCAGCCAGGCCCTACTGCGGTGCTGGCCAGCCTGACGCCTGCCCTCTAGCCCAGTGCACTGCCCACCTCCCAGCGATTGGCTGGAAACCAGCTGACCCAGTTTGGGATGGCTTGCAGTGCAGAGTCTCAATGGGAGGGTCCCTTAGTGCCAGGAGTGGGTGCGGAGGGGTTGATGAACGTCCCTCTGGCTCCTGTTGAGGCACAGGGGCTTTGGACATGGCTGGCCAAGAGACCCTCTGTGGCCTGCCTACCCCGGTCCTCCAGGCTGCCAGCAGGACAGCCACCCTTTCCGGGGAGCATGTGGGTCATGCTGGGTCATCTGTTTACCCCCAGCCTTGGGGACAGCCCTGAGCAGCCATCGTGTCCCAGCTGTCAGTGTGACAACAGCACAGGGTGGAGAGAGGGCAGGGGAGGGCTCAGGGTCTCTAGGAAGGGACAGGAGGCATCACAGGACAGGGGAGCTCAAAGAAGCCTGGCCCACGCCAGGAGACCATCGACCCCAGGGCGGTCAGGGAAGGCTTCCTAAAGGTGGTGAGATTCCCGTTTGTCTTCAAAGGACTCATTTGGCAACAGGTGGGCATTTAGGTCTGCAGAACAGGTGCTTAGGAAGATGGAGGCAGTGAGGTCTGGGTGACACTGGGTGCGAGGTGAAGACAGAACCGGGCCAGGCCCCTGTCCACACCTTCCTTCTCCGTTATCTGCCTTGTCTGCTCAGAGCCAGCCCTGGATGCCCAGGCTTCTTCCCTGGAGCCCGGCTGCCTGGCTTTACAGAACCCACCACGTGGTTCTGGGGAGAGACCTAGACCATCAGGGGGGAGCTGAGCTCCTGGCAGAGGGTCCTCCCAGGCTTCTCTGTCCAGGCCTGGCTGCCAGCCTTCCCTGTCCCACCCCCATTTCCAGATCAACAGAAGTAGGGTGGCCACTTCCCTCGGCCAGGCCTTCTATGCTCCAAAAGGTCAGAGCCGGAGGTGACCGCGGCTCAGGGCTCTGGCTTATGCAAGACCCCTGCCCCCAGAGCGGGACTGTGGCATTGGTGGCCCTTCCTGTGGGGAAAGATCCCCCCAGCTGAAGCCTCGGGGACTGCTGTGACCAGCCTCCCAGGAGACCTCAGGGAGCTCTGCCTGCTGGAAGGAGGAGGGGACTGTTTGGAAGGCACGTGGGGGCAGGCCCGCCTTTGGGGAGCTGTGTCCGTCATAGAGAAGGGGCTTCTCCGGCACAGAGGCCTTCCCACGATGCTCTCGGTGCAGGTGGAGGATGCCGTGTTAGACACCTACGATCTGGTGTATGACCAGGCAGTGAGGGGCTCGTCCGTCACCCTGCGGCAGCAGCTGGTGGCCATTCAGGACACGGTGAGCGTGTGGGGGGTGGCCTCCTCCTCGTTGGGCGGCTCCGGGACACTCGGCCTCCCCAGGTGGATTGCAACCCCGAAAATGGGTACAGGGTGCCCTCCCAGAGTCAGCCAGCCGGGGCCAGATGCTGAGCAGGGGGTCCCAGGACACGGGCCACCAACGCCCTCTCGGTCGTGGGGACGGGGGGTACAAAGACCTCTCGTCTTCTCCCTCTGACCCGGGCAGGGCTGGCCACCTAATTTGGGGGGCCCGAAGCAAAACTAAAAAGGCTTCTTGTCAAAAAATGAAGAATTTCAAGGTGGCGATAACACAGCATATCAAGCAAGGTGGCCACAGGGTCCTAGCCCGAGAGGCCCAGCTGGGCATGTGAGCCGTCCCGGGCAGGCGGCCGTGGTGACCACTTGTAGCTGACCCTTAGGGGACCTCTCCCCCCGCCGTGTTCTTGCAGTTCCTGTGCTGTGGGAAGAACTCTCCTTTCGGCCTCCTGGGGGGCACGGAGGTCAGTCTGTGTCCAGGAGAGGAGGCCACCAGACAGGTGAGGAGGACAGCCGGGACCCTGGGCTCTCCCTCCCCGGGCTCCTGGAGGCAGCAGTGAGGGCTGGACTCAGCCCCAGGCTCCGTTCACGCCTCCACTGCCTCACGCAATTTCAGCTCGGGGCTCCCCAAGGCCAGGCCTGCCCTCGGAAGCCTCCAGAAGCATAGAGGGAGGTGGAAGACAGACAGTGATCTGGAGGGGGCTCCTCCGGAAGGAGCCGGAAGTGCATTCGCGGAGGGAAGGAACAGCCTGGCCCCAGTCAGCCCGCCCAAGGGCCTCGGCGACAGAGGCTGGGAAGTCCCTTGCTCCCCAGAGAGGGACGTGGCCCTCCCTCCGACCACCCCACCAGCCCTCCTCCAACCCACCGCCTTCCCTGCTCCCCTCCCCCATGTCCGGGAAACAAACCCACCCCTATCTGTGGGCCAGAGGCTCCTGGCCGTCCTCCAAGAAACAGACAGGAGGTTGCTAGGGCTCCGGGCCCAGCAGGGGAGGGAGGGCGGCGTGCAGGGGAGGGGCGAGGGCAAAGGAGGGCCCAGCAGGGCTGGCAGGGGGCTTTCTGCCACCCAGGAAGAGGCTTCAGGCGCCCGTCTGCAAAGCTGGGCCACAGGCCGCTTGGCGACCTTCCAGAATGGCGGGGTCCCCACTGTAAAGGCCTCAGGGGGTGGGGGTAGGCGCTGGAGCCACCCCGGGAGAGGGCGCTGGAGGGGCTGGGGTGGAGTCCCTGACGGTGGTCTGGCCCCCAGCCTGCCTTCCAAGAGGAGCAGCCACAGGGGGAGTAGGGGCTGATCAGGGGCCATTCCCCCCACCCCCCTCCCCCCGGGGCACCCAGGCCAGGCTGCAGCGTCGCGGCCCAAGCTCCTGGGACCATTTCCAGCTGCCCTGGGAGCCAGAGGTCCCAACCTCCCAGCCAGCTGAAGTCAGTCCCGCGGCCCAGGGCCCAGCGAACATGGGAGCAGATAGATGCACAGACAGACGGCAAGCCAGCCTCCCCTCCCCCATCCCAGCCTTCAGAGCAACATCCCGAATGTGCTTCCTTTCTGCAGCCGCCCCAAATGCCAACATCTTCCCCAGACCCAAATGCCGCCATCTGAGTGCTTCAGAGATGGGTCGGTCACCTCCCTTTTCTGGAGGCAGAGCCTCTGCGGCAGCTGTGCCCTGGGGAAGCACTGGATGGGGATGCCCAGGACCCCAGGCCTCTCCCCCAGTGCTTTCTCTGCCCCTCTTGTTGGCCAGCACCCCCACCCCTCCCCTCACTGATGCTCTGCACCCAGCCCTGGGCCAGGGAGTGAGGGAGAGCCAGCCTGCCCACAGCAGCCAGATGCATGACCCAGCACAGGCTGCTCAGGGGACGCCTAAGAAAGGCACGCGCTGGACCCTGGGGCAGCGACCTCTAGTCCCCACAGAGGTCTGCTCTGTCCGTCCGTTTTTCACCTGTTTGTGACGCCATTCCCCAGAGCCCCCAGGCCCCACCGACTTCCCATCACCCCAGCATTCGCCTTCAGTGGGCACTGCGGGTCTCTGCCTTGCGGGGGGGGGGGGGCGGGCCTCGACCCCGGGCAGGGGAGGGGCAGTCAGGGCAGGCGCCTTACGAGCTGTCTCTGCTCAGGACTGCTTGGTGGGGGTCAGGAGCTTCCTGAGGACCTATGGAAACATCGCCTCCACCCTCACTGGCATCGGCCTGGCCTCCACGGTACACTCGCCCTCCCTCGGCACCCCTCCCCCACCGCCTGCCCCTGCATCCACAGGACCCCCACCCCGACGGAAGGGCAGACTGGGCAGCCCCAGGCCAGCATCTCCGGTCTGGGGGAACACCGGCGAGCCAGAGAGGACGCTGCTGACCCCAGGGACGCAGTCTGGGGGGTGACGGTGCCCACCTCCCGAGACGGGCGGGAGCCCCGCAGAGCCCAGACCCTTCTAGGGAGGCAGTGCGCGCCCCACTGGAGCCGCCGGTGCCTGTGCTGACGCCACCCCCACCCCCCCAGGTGTATGCCGTGCTGCTCAGCTCCTTTCTCTGGTTCGCCTTTCGCTCTGGCTGCAGCTTGGACCGCAGGGGCAAGTACACCCTAAGCCGGAGGTAGGTCCCAACCCGCCCACCTGCCCCCACCTCACCCCCCCGAGTGCAGACGGCGGCAGGTGGAGGCGTCTGGGTGCTCACTGGCCGGAGAGCACTGCCCCTCCCCACTCCCGGGATGTCTCTACTGCCCCCGGCCGCTGGGACCCCCGGACCAGTAGCCCAGTCCTCTAAGGCGGGTGCTTTGGGGGTGGCTGGCCATGTGGAGGGAGGGGGACAGCTGGAGAGCTGCCAGACCAGCCCCCCAGAGACGCCCCTCTCTTCACCCCACTCCTCACCGAGACCCGACCTCACAAGTGCTGTCTCCACCAGCACCGAGAGATAGATGCTTCTGGGGCCCCGCACTAGTCCCAGGCCAAGACCTGTGATCCTGGGGAGCCCCAGGGCTCCCCGTGCACCAGGAGCAGGGAGGACCCAGGCTCAGCGGCCAAGAAGGCCCTCCTGGTGTTCACCAACCCCGCCGCTCTGCCCCGGCCTTCCCGTCCTGCCCGGGGCCTGGTGCATTCTAGAACAGCCTCACAGTCCCCTCTGCTTCTTAGAGCCCGTGACTGCCGGCCCCAGGAGCCCAGCTTCTTCAGACGCTCCCCGGGGGGGCCCGCACTCCAGCACCCGATGGAAGCGGACGTTCTCGATGGCCGCCTGTGTGCGAGCAGACCCTCAGGGGGCCCTCAGTTCCTCCAGGACAGCTGACGCTGCTTCAACCACCTGCCCTGCCACCTGTCGGCCCACAGAGCCCGAGCGGGCCTGAACACGAGCCTTACGAGGAGGGTGCGACGTGTTTTCTGCCGCAGCACGGAGGGACGGGGAAGGAGAGGAGGAGGCCAGCTCTGTTTCAGCAGACAAGGGGACCGGGGTCACTCACTGACTCCTCGGGAACAGACTGGGAAGTGGTCGGAGCAGAGAAGCCACGGGGCAGGTTTGGGCAGTCTGCTTAGTCTCACGAGGTCAGAGCCCAGGGCCGAGCCTGGCCGGGCGCCCCACTGGCCGCCGGCTCCGGGGGACCCTACTTCCAGGCTCAGTCCGGCTGCTGGCTGGACACAGGTCCGTGCGGCTGGAGGACCGAGGGCCCCCTCCTTGCCAGCCGTCAGCGGACCACCTCCGTTCCTTCTCATGCAAGGCTTTCACGTCCGAGCCGGCGAGGCAGGCCCGTCCTCTTGTGCTGAGACCTCTGACTTCCCCTTGCCCCTGGCCGGGGAGCTCACTTGCAAGGGTTCCTGTGGCTGCAGAAGGCCCACTGGGAACCTCGTGTCTCTGGCAGAAACCCCACACTTCCGGTGGGGTGTTCACAGGTGCCAGGGCCGAAGGCGAGACTTGTGGGGTGTGTGCAGGAGGGCTCCGTAGACGGTCCAGTTTCCAGGCTGCTCCCGCTGGACACCCAAGCTACCTCTGTCCGTTCTCTCCAACCGTCCCTGAGGGTGTTCACTCTCTGCTCGAAATCGGAAGTCCCAGGTGGAACCCGGATTGGCCCAGCCCAGGCCGAGGCCCCGGCAGAGCTGACCAAGGAGAGAGGAATGTCGGGGCCGTTTAACCCCCTTCTGGGGAGGTCAGGCCTGCCGCCACCAAGACCAGCAAAGGAGGGTCCTCCAAAAGGGAAGAACCCTTTGTGACAGGACGGGCAGGCAAGACAGTGGACACGTGGCCACACCCCCCACCGTCCTCCTCTTGCGTTTCCCCTCGCACGCCCACGCACGCATGCTTCCGGAGGCAAGCGTGTTCCCACCTCATGTATAGCCGGTGGCCCTCCTCCAGTGGAAGAGCTTGACCCCAGAGTCTCCTGGGTCCTGCATTCGGGGACAGCCCAGGGTCTCCGGCCATGTGCATTTGTCCTCTAGACCTGCTCTGGTCAGTCTGTCACTCTACAGCTTACAAAACATATTTTATAATTTTTCAAGTTTATTTATTTTTGAGAGAGAGAGCCGGGGACGGGCAGAGAGAGGGAGAGAGGGAGACTCCCAAACGGGTTCTGCCCTAGCAGTGCAGAGCCCGACACGGGGCTTGAACTCACAGACCGCGAGACCACGATCTGAGCCGAAACAAAGAGCCGGACGTTCAACCACCTGAGCCCCCCAGGTGCCCTGCAGAATGTGTTTGAAAGATCACAACCAGCGAGGTGTCCTCTGCACAGCAGTGGGGGAAAGAGGGAAAGAAGATAGGGGATGTAGTTAAGCTCTACAAACACGGAACTCAGCAGGGAGGGAATCTCCAGACGGTTATTAAGAGAACAGCTGGGGCACCTGGGGGGCTTGTCCGTTAAGCGTCTGACTTTGGCTCAGGTCATGATCCCACCATTTGGGGGTTTGAGCCCCACATTGGGCTTTGTGCTGACAGCTCAGAGCCTGGAGCCTGCTTGGGATTCTGGGTCTCCCTCTCTCTCTTCCCCTCCCCCACTTGTGCTCCGTCTCTCAAAAATAAATAAACATAGAAAAAGAAAGAAAGAAAAAAAGAAAGAAAAAAGGAAGAGAAAAGGAAGGAAGAAAAGAAAGAAGAGAGAAAGAGAAAAAAAAAGGAAGGAAGAAAGAGAGAAGAAAGAAAAAAGAAAGAGAGAAAGAAGAAAGAGAAGAAAGGAAAGAAGAAAAAAAGAAAGAAAAAGAAAGAAAAAAAGAAAGAGAAAGAAAGAAAGAAAAAAGGAAGGAAGAAAAGAAAGAAGAGAGAAAGAGAAAAAGAAAAAAGGAAGGAAGAAAGAAAGAAAAAAGAAAAAGAAGAAAGACAAAAAAAGGAAGGAAGAAAAAAAGAAAGAAAAAGAAGGAAAGAAAGAAAAAAGGAAGGAAGAAAAAAGGAAGGAAGAAAAGAAAGAAAGAAGAGAAAGAAAAAGAAAAAAGGAAGGAAGAAAGAAAGAAACAAAGAAAAAAGGAAGGAAGAGAAAAGGAAGGAAGAAAAGAAAGAAGAGAGAGAAAAAGAAAAAAGGAATGAAGAAAGAAGAGAGAAAGAGAAAAAGAAAAAAGGAAGGAAGAAAGAAAAAAGAAAGAAAGAAAGAGAAAGAAAAAGAAAGCAAGTAAGCAAGCAAGCAAGCAAGCGGGTGTGGGGGCAAAACCAAGGCCTTAATATAGCACCATCAAGGCTGGGAGGGCCCAAGCAATGGGCTGGTGACCCACCAGTGCAGTGTCCCCAGCAAGTCTGGCCTCTCTGTCCCAGCTTGGCGGGTGGGGTGAAAGAAACAGGAAGACAGAGGTCACTAGGAGAAACCAGACCTGGAAGTCTGGGGGCCACGTTGAGGCGCCTGATCAAGATAAAGACCGAGGGGAAGGCCGGGTGGCTGGGCTCCACCCTCCCTGAGGTGAGGAGTCCCCAGGCCTCCTTGACACGGGAGCCCCATGCGCTGTGGCGCCCAAACCCACGGTGAGGCCGCAGTTGGCCTGGGAGAGGGTCGCCAACAGCTGGAGAGAGCAGGAGGTCGGTGAGGTGTCTTCTCCAGGATGGGGTCCTGGGGGCGGATGCGGGGTCCGCCGGGAGGTGGCCTCCACCCGCCACCGTCAGACAGCGAGCACACAACCGTACCCCTCGAGCAATGACCCTGGGACGCTGCCCTGTGCCCGTGACCCCGGAGCTGCTGGGCTGTCCTGTTCGGAAGTCCGGGTGCCGGTGGAGGGAGGTGACAGGGCCCCGCCCCAAGGGCTGACCCGCCGGCGGCCTGCCCAGCTGCGAGGGAAGAATGGGACAGGTGGGAGGACCCCCTGCCTTTGGTTTCTGTGGACTCATGGGCAGTGGCCAGCAGCCTGGCCCTGTGTCCAGAGAGACAGGGGACGGAGATGTGCCTGCTGCTGGGCCCCGTGGGAGCTGGAGTAGGACCCGTCAATGCCTACCGGAAGGACGCCTTCCAGGCTTGGAAGGAGACGGAGCCACAGGCAGGTGTCCCCGAGTGCTCCGGGGGCAGAGTGGACGGAGCAGGGGCGGGGCTGCCGTGCAGAGCGGGCCGGGTGTGCCGGGAACAGCCTCAGTGGCCCGGCAGCCCGGTCCTCATGGGGACAGCGGTGCTCGGAGGGCAGGCATTCCCCACCCTGGCCAGAAGGAGGCCGGGCTCAGGTCCCTTCCAAAGGGCACAAACAGAACGGTAGCAGCTGAGGCGAGGGGACTGAAACGACTATGTAATGACGGCCGTGCAGCAGGAGATGACGCTGCCTCCCAGCGCAGTGCCACGGGAGCCACGGGAGCCACAGGAGAGGCGGGACAGCAGCCGGACCAAGTGTAGTCGCGTGCTTTGGACTTTTATGATCATTTTGCTGTAAAGGATGCGGCCAAAGGCCAAGGAGTGGCCGGTGATGTCATTAAAAATGAATATTGGGGGGCGCCTGGGTGGCGCAGTCGGTTAAGCGTCCGACTTCAGCCAGGTCACGATCTCGCGGTCCGTGAGTTCGAGCCCCGCGTCGGGCTCTGGGCTGATGGCTCGGAGCCTGGAGCCTGTTTCCGATTCTGTGTCTCCCTCTCTCTCTGCCCCTCCCCCGTTCATGCTCTGTCTCTCTCTGTCCCAAAAATAAATAAACGTTGAAAAAAAAAATTAAAAAAAAAATGAATATTGGGTCTTTGTCTAGTTCCCGGCACACATTCCCTAAAACCCCTGGTTTTGCAGTGTTGAGAGTGTCCCAGGTGTGTTCCTGCAGTGACTAGTGGCTTATGGACAGAGACTGGCCTCCCGGGAGGCCAGGCGTCCTGAGAGCCCCCGGGAGGGGAAAGGGCGGGAGACCCACCAGTGGCCAGCTGTGAGATCACCCAGGCCCACCCAGCGGGACAGCCAGACAGGCCCCGAGCCCCTGGGCTAGACTGGTGAACACGTGCAGGTGGCAGGAGGGGGGGGCGCCCCCAGACAGGGGCGTGGACCCCTTCCGCGGCACCTCGCCACCTGCACGCACGCCTCCCGTGTGGCTGTTCCTGAGTCGTGTCCTTATAATGAGTCGGTAACCCCCAACGTGGGGCTGGAACTCACGACCCAAGATCAAGAGTCACACGCCCCACTGACTGAGCCGGCCGGGCGCCCCTGACTCAAGCTTTGGGGTCACTGGCCCCAGACTCAAGCTGCTGGACCAAGAGAAGGCACGTCCCTGTGCTCACGGCCTGGCGGTTCCGGACCCGGGGATGGACGCTGTGACCGGACGGGCTTCGGGGAGGCACAGAAGGTGTCTGGGGGCGTGGAGGGGGCACGCGGGTCAGCAGGTCACCGTGTCCTGGGCAAAGAGAACCGCTGCGTTTCTCAGCCTCCCCGAGGGAGTGGGGTCAAGGCGGCCACGTGGCTGAGTTTCACCAAGGGCAAGCAAGGAGGGTGAGGTCAGCGTCTTCTTCCCTTCGAGGTGACCTTGGAGGACACGTGTTCCCAAAGACACTTTGAAGGTGAAGGAGAGCTGGTCAAGCCCCGTGAGACCCCATGCAAGGGAAAAACAAGCACCCTGGGCTTCGGGGCCAGGCCTGCGGTGTGGTCAGCCCTCGCCCCGGAGCCCCTGACCCGGAAAAGCCGCTGAGCCCGCAGCTGGGTGGCCGCAGGCCCTCGGGGGACCTGCTGGCTGTGCAGGCTCACAGGGAGCTGGGGGCGCTCGCTAGGGCGTGGTCGTCGTGAGGACCAGGCGTTCGAGGCCCAGCAGGAGCACAGGAGCTGCGGGAAAGCAGATTGCCCGGGAGGAGGCCGGCGAGTGACGTGAGTGCAGAAGGGCCTGGAAGGACGGGGCCCAAAGGGAGCCACTGGCCTCACTCACGGGGGTGGCGTGGAGGGGGCTGTCCCACTGGAGGATATGGGCACTGGGCCTGAGAAGAAGATTGGAGGCCGGCCTCCGTGGACGTGGCCCTTGGGAACCCCCTCCTGTGCTGACGTCGGACCCCTGGAACAGTTCCAAGGGCACAGCGTTTACATCAGCGTTCTTTAGGGAAGCAATACTGTGTGCGTGTACATAGAAAAGAGGTTTGTCGTAAGGGATGGGCTCACGTGATTATGGAGGCTGAGAAGTCGGCGGGCGGGAGCGGGGGGTGGGGGGCAGGGACCAGGCAAGACCGACACTCCAGTATGAGTCTGAAGGCAGGAAGACAGTGATGTGTGGGCTCACACAGTCCGCCACAGGAGTTCCCTCCTTCTCAGTCCTTTCGGTCTAGTCAG